ATATATATATTTTAAAAGGTTCCTGCTACTACTCCCTCCTCAGCCTGACCCAGGTTCCCAGGGTCAGGTAGCTCCTCCCCATCCAGACGGGGCCGGCCCCCAGGTGTGCTCCCACCCTCCACCCACAGGTGCCCCCTCTCCCTGGGAGACCCCCCCCCACTGACTCCTCCCCCCCCACCTGCTGTGGGCCCTCCACTCCGGAGCTGTGGGTGTCCTCGGAGGGAAACAACGGGTCAAGGTTCCGAGGCTCTGAGTGAGGCTCCTGGCGTGCGGACTCCCTCGAAACAGGCCTGGAGCGGGCAGCACCCGGGCCAACCCGCCCAGGCTTGCTCCCGCCCGGCGCTCTCGCTGGAAATCCCCTCCCACGCTCACTCTTTCATCGCCTTCCAGCCCCATAACCTTCCTGACTCACGGGGATCCCTTTGGTCTGGAGGGCGCCCGCTGCCCCCGCGCCCGCGGCCCCGTCTGGGCTTGATGGGCATTTGATCCCCGCGTGGGTCCGGCCGGACGGGACCTGTGGGCTCGGGGCTCAGGTCGGGGCCTGCAGGCTCTCCCCTTTTCCCGGATCGTGCTGGCCTCTGGGCGCTCGTGTTTATGGGCAAAGGAGCCTCCCTGGTGGGACCCTGGTCCTCAGGGACCCTGGGCTGAGGGGCGGGGACATGGGACTGGCCGAACCCCCCAGGAACTCCCGGCCTGAGCCAACCTGCCCATAACAGCAGTGCCAACCTGGACACGGGGCCGAGTTAAGAGTGAGCCAGGCTCTGGGCTGGCCACCGGTCGGGGACAGTTCTCTCTCTTTTTTAAAAGTTTTAAAAAATATGTTGTTATTGATTTCAGAGAGGACAGGAGAGGGAGGGAGGGAGGGAAAAAGAGAGAGAGAGAAACATCCATGATGAGAATCACTGATCGGCTGCTTCCTGCATGCCCCCTGCTGGGGATCAAGCCTGCAACCGAGGCGTGTGCCTTTGACCAGGAATCAAACCCGGAAGCCTTTCGTCTGCAGGCCGTCGCTCTACCCACTGAGCCAAGCCGGCCAGGGCACCCCCGGAGGCTCTTAGAGAGTTTTGCCCACAAGGGACAGTTCTCATCTCCGTTCAGAGCCCAGAGCGAGCCACACCACGAGGGCCGCGCTCATTTCAAAGGAGGAAGAGACGTGTGACCCAGATGGGCAGACAGAGTGCCCAGTCCTGCGGGACCAGCAGGGACCCTCGGGCGTCGCCAGGAGGCCGGGAGAAACACCCCCCCGGGGCCCGGGACCAAGCCCGGGACCCCCTGGAAGAGTCAGAACCCTGGAGGAGTCGGACCCCCGGTGGAGTCGGACCCCCGGAGGAGTCGGACCCCCCGGAGGAGTCGGACCCCATGGAGGAGTCGGGCCGGTCAGCAGAGTGGAAGCGCAGGAGGCCCCAGGGCAGCGGCTTCGGAAACGCCCCAGGGCCTGTCCGGGC